AGATGTATGTTGAAGGAACAACAGTGAGCTCCACATGAGCTAAGCTGAGAGAAAATCCATGTCTGGCTCAACACGTTGTGCTGGTCCCACAGGGCAAAGAAAATGAACTTAGCATCCTAGAGGTTCCACACAAAATAGATTCTGGTGGCCTCCAGACCTAACAGCCAACAGGCCCAGTATCAACCACTGCCACACCAGCTGCCATTTTGTATATTGAGGTAAAGGTTGTGGGGCTGTTAAGAACAAGAATGAACTGTGCAGGTATTGAACCAGGAGATAATTCACTCCCAGCTCAATGCATTGCACTTGTCTCACAGAAAAAAAAATAGTAGGTTCCAATGAAAATAGATTCTGGCAGCCTTTAGACCTCATGGCCAGGAGATTCCAGCAAGACCAGCAGCATAGAGAATCCAGTTATTTTGGGCAGCTCCCATCTCCCTAATCCTGGGCAGTGCTCAAACCAGGAGTGGGATAAAGGCTTTGGGACCCTCTCTGACATTTATATAAGAAACTAGGTAAAGGAAAGACTACTTTAATAAGTATGTTTATGAAAGAATAAGTTATTTAGGGAACAAGACGGCTGATCAGGGTAGCAAGGTGCAGCTGAGAATACAGAGAGAACAGCAAGGGAAAATCAGGTGTGGAACAGACCTGGAAAAGGAAAATCACCACATAAAGTGAGCAAAGGTGTCTGGAGATCACGGGAGAGCACCAGGAGCTGTGAACACAAGGGAAAATCACTGAGAACACCTGAAGTTTCAGCCAGCAGCCCAAGAGGAAGATGGTGCAGGGAAAGAAACCGGAATGTTTCACAAACACTAAGGCACGCCCTAGAAATGTCACTCAAAAATGCGGTGGAAACAGAAAAAAAAAAGAAAGTTAGTTTCCCTTTAAAGGGAAAATCTCCTCTTAAAGCCCACAAAAGATACCGAAGTTAAGCAAAGAAAACCCAGAGTAAACATGACAGGAACAAAACACAGCCTATCAATGGTAACCCTGAAAATGAGTGGCTTAGATTCATAATCCAAAGACATTGCCATTAGCTGTTAGGCAAGAAAAGAAAACTAAAAAGCTCATCAGTTCAATTCCTTTCAAAATAACACAGAAAACACTTAAATACGTTGAACTTCACCTAACAAAAGCTGTGGATTACCTCTGCAATAAAAATTAGAAAACATTAGAAAAAGAAATAAAAGACTTTAAAAACTGGAGATATACATTATGTTTCTGGAAAAGTGGAGTCAACAACATCAAAATGTCCAATTACCAAAAGTAATAACGAGATTCATCGCAATCCCAAACAAAATCCCAAGAACATTCTTCACTGAGCTACAAAAAAAAAAAATTTATATGTAAATGCAAGAGACCACAAACAGCCAAAATTATCTTGAAGAACAACAATCTAGCCAGAGCAATCACAGTTGCAAACCTTAAGACATATTACCAGGCAGCAGTAACCAAACAGCCTCACACAGGTACAGAAACAGAGAAGATCAATGGAACAGAAAAGAAACACCAGGAGATGGTCCTAGTACAATAGCCAAGAGGCTAAATCCTCAGCTTGCATCCTCTGGGATCTCATACGTGTGCAAGTTCATTTCATGCCATGTCTCATTCAGCTCCCTGCCTGCGGCCTGGGAAACAGTGGAGGATGACTCAATGCCATGGGACCATGCACTCACGTGTGAGATCCAAAGGAAACTTCTGCTTCCTGGCTTCAGATAGGCTCAGCTCTGGCCAGTGCGACCACTTCGGGAGTGAACCACCAGATGGAAAATCTTTCTCATTATCTCCTTTTCCCTATATATCGGCCTTTCCAACAACAACAAAAATAAATAAATAAAATAAATCTAAAAACAAAACAAAACAAACAAAAAGTGACACAAATCAAAACACCAGAAGAGAGCCCCTAAGTAGACAGTCAACTAATCTTCAATAAGAGAACAGAAAACAACCCAGAGAAAAAGCTTGATCTCTTAAAAAATATGGTTTGGACAACTGGATAGTAGTCTATAGAGGTAAAAAAATAAAACCCTCACAAAGATCAAATCTCAATAGACAAAAGATCTACATGCAGAAACCATCAAACTATTAGAAGAAACATAAGAAATACTCTAAAAGATGTATGTATGTAGGTGCAGGCAATGTCTTCTTAAAAAAGTCATCAAAAGCGCAGGTGGTCAACATTCAAATAAACAAATAAGACTACGTCAAACTACACAGCCTCTTCAACAAAAGACAAAGAGAGAAAGAGAGAGAGTTACTAACAGAGTGGCAGAATAACTTTGCACACTACATGACAAACAGAGGGCTAATATCCAGGATATGAAAAAAAAGTTCCAGAAACACAATAACAAGTCAATCAATCCAGTTAAGAAATGGATGGAGATGAGTAGACATTTTTAAGGAAGGAACCCAAATGATTAACAGATACAGGGAAAAAAATTGCTCACTGATGTTCCACTTAACTCCAGTGAGAATGGACTAAATACAGAATACTGCCAACACCACCTGCTACTGAGGATGTTAGGGGAAAGGTACCCTAACCCACTGTAATTGCAGAGTGGTGCAGCCACTGTGGGAATTGATATGGAAAATACTCAGACGACTGAAAATTCACCTACCATATGGCCAGCAGTCCCAATCCTGGAAATATATCCAAAAGAGCTGATATATATCATATGAGAAAGCAACCTGCACCCCTGTATGTACTGCAGCATAATCAACCATCAAACTACATGGAAACAACCTGGATTCCTACTGAAGGAGCACGGGATGAAGCAGCTGTGGCACATCTAATCCATGGAATACTACTCTGCTATTAAAGAAAAATGTTATTGTTTGCAACCAATGGTCCCAACTGGAGACCATTATGCTCAGTGAAATGAGTCAATCCCCAAAAGTCAAATATCATACTTTTGCTCTAAGACATCCTCTGTCCAAATTCCCAAACAAAAATACATAAAGGTAAATAAACATAATAAATACACGTTTGTAATTTCACAAAGGATGTAATGGAGAGTAGTGTATCAGGAATCAAAGAAAATCAACAGAATACAACTCTACTCTGGAATAGATGTAGGCCCCAGATGAAACTTCTAAATATGTCTGGAAAACAGAATACTAGGCTGCTTACCATTACTTTTAGCAACAGTGTCATGACCCACGTAAAGCACAGAATGTTGGACTCAAGAATACAGGTGAAGAATACAGGTGTTTTTATTATAAAACATAGGGGATGATGGGGAGGAGAGAAGGAGTGATGGGGAGAAGGGAGGAAACCTTATCCTTGCAAAATTTCAAAGTGCAAAATAGGAATAATAAAAATAAAAGAATGTTACTTTTTAAATAAAACAAGTGAAAAATGATTAACTGAAATTGATTAAATTGGAATTGGCATGAGTGGTGAGACTATGAATCAGTATACTAAACCAGTTTAGCTGTCCAGAATGTGATTTTCATGGCACAGTCAAAAATAGTTCATTGAAGAGAGAGGAGGCTGTCATTACAGTGCTTGAGGTTAAGTTCCCGCTTGCGCTGCAGACATCCCAATCAGAGGGTGTGTTCAAGTCCCAGCTTTCATGTTTCTGATATAGCTGCTAGAAAATGCACCTAGATGGGAGTAGAGGTGGCCTATGTCCTGGTCTCCTGTGTCCTGGTCTCCTTCCATCCCTGTGGGAGATTAGGATAGGGTTCCTGGATTTGGAACTCCCAGCTATTGCAGCCTTTCGGGAGGTGAACCAGCAGGTGGAAGATTACTCACTGTCACTGTTTCATACAAATAAGTAGATATTTCAAAACAGGACAAGTGATTTAAGGTTAGGATTAGAAAAATGAAGATTCATCTAATTCCCATTTAAATGAAATGAAGAGAGAAAAAAGGGATAAGCAATACTTGTTAAGTAAAGAATTTTTGAAAATGAATAGATTTATATGAATAATGTTTGTGGACCAGATACATAGATATGTGGCAATTAATGAATAGAGTCGGTAAGAAAGCAAATATCCAGAAAGGTCTTTGAAAAGCCTTACACATCAGAAAGCTAGAGCCAAACATAACACAGAAAGCCATGTGCCACAGGGAGAGAGAGAGAGAGAGAGGATGACCTTCAAAGTAGCTTGGCACTGGAAGGCATGAGGGTTGTCAGAGCACTTCCAAAGTTGGGTAGACTGACAGCAGATGATTCCATCACAACCGCAGAAGCCAAAAGACACCAGCCAACGATGCAATGGGAAAAAATTTAAAAACCTGCCCCTCAGCAGCAGGGGTGAGCAGCACTGATCAGCAGTATTTCAGGTTTCCAAGGTGTGATATCTCTATCTGGACAACTGCAAGCTGTCCTCACCACATCACTGAATGCAGAGCTGGGGAGAGAGGGCTGTGTGCAACTGCCTCATAGGCGTCGGTGTCAACGCGCCCCATCACAGCACCGCATGATTTCTCAATTTCTGAGAACACCCGTCCTTCAATACTGAGTCATATGTCTACCAAAATGATCTTCCAAGAATCAAAGTGAAATAAGGAGCATTTTATTTGCATATAAAGGATTAATGAAATTTTCTGGTAAAAACAAGAAACATTCAAGATAGAAGGAGAAAAGAAAAACAAATGGTGTGTACATGGTAATGAAAGTGAGCAGTGAAACAGAAAACTTGGAAGCAATGATCACACTTTTCCCTGACTCTGGATCATTCCCATCCTGATCAACTACGTAAGCATCATCTAAATTAAAATTTAAAAAAAACACCTGATGATTTTACTTAATTACTTTATGATTGTACCTCTGTCAACATCTGAAGCACTATAAAACATTGAATATCACAGGCCACATCCTTGCCACACACACACACATCTCAGCATTTCCGATACCAGCAATTTTAACAGCACATCTTTGATGGAGTTTAAGGCTCCAGATTTGAATCACCACATCAACACCTGTTCTGTTTGTTTATGTATGTTAACAAAGCCCACTGTAAAGGTGTGGACTGAAGCAACTGACCTGTGACTTTGCCCAGGGTCAAGGACCTGGCAGTCCTGAGGCTGGCTTCCAAAGAGAAACTAAAGCTGTGCTGGGGTTGCTGGTCCACCTACAGAGAAACAGAACAAAGAGCTATTGGTGAGATCTATTTGTGAAAGATTTTTAAACATTCCCATCCTTAAATACCTGAAAAAAACACAGGCAGGGCAAACAGAGCAGATTCCTCTCTGGAATTTTCTGTAAGTGGAGATTAGAAAAGTCTCATTAATTATCCTACAATATACACAAAATATCCCTTTCATTCTGTCATGCGAAATGTGGCCTTTCTTGCAAGCTTTCACCTGGGGAAATTCTATACAGTTCTTGACAGATATTTTTCTTCAAGGTTGAGAAACAAGCAAACAAATGAAATCTGCTCAGGAATTAACTGTGCAGGATTAATATTAAATGGGACACACACACACTCATACCCTGTATCTTTTCTCCCCGCCTCCCCACCCCCCGGAGCATGGATGGTCCTGACTGTGCTCTAGTTCAGGTGTGAATTGAGGGACTGTACTGGGCAGGGGTGACAGCTGGCAAAACATTTGGCAGGAAGACTACAGGATAGCTGCAGAGCTACCATCCACTGGGCAGCTGAGAACCCGACCATCCAGGGAGATCTTTCCAGGACTGCATTATGAAGATCATCTTCAGCCATCTCTAGGCACATCCCCTACGTTGCTTGCTCTTCACTGCAGCTCCATCGCTTTATCTAGGTATCTGGCAGTGATGTCCAGTCTGTGCCATTGCTTTCATTCTAGCGAAATTCTGACTATTTCATTCAGCTTTGTTCTTAGAATGCACATGCTGCTATTTCTGGAAAGGCTTTCCTTTGTCCTTTGTTCGTGGAGTGGGAGTTCCTCAACTCACAGAAACTACACATTAGGAAGAGAGCCATGCGTGGATTTGCAGCACCAACATAGATGTATTGTTTAAGTCCCACAATATACAATGTGTATGAAGTGTTCCTGGCAGCTTTTCTGTAAGAAAGAGGCTGTTGGTCTGACTTTGCTAAACTCATGGAACCTCAAGTCCAGGACAATAACCAGCGTTCTAGTGCCTCTTTTCCTATGCATTCCTCTCCCCTGAGCAAACTCCCTCCAGAAACCTTCTGGTGCCCTAGAGATTTAAACTAGGAAAGAAATACTGGTAATGACCTGTGGCACATGATTGCCACTGTGCATTGAAAACTTGCTGTGCATAAAACAAAAGATGAATGCCTCTGTCCAAACCTTGAATAGAGTTAGCAAACTATTAACTTCAGTTTCCCAAGTGATATTTAAATGAAACAGTCAACAAACACTGATGTTTGGGTTGAATTTTGTTTATTTATCATTCTGTCCTCTCGCTGGTTAATAATGTCTTATAAAAACTGCTCACTTTTGTGGTCACATGCACACATTTACTTCTTATGTCTCAACATTTCTCCTTTCTACCAGATCAGGGCAGCTTTCATATTCTTTAAATGAAAAAAATTTAAAAGATTCCTTCTCTCATTCTGATCTCAGGGATAATATTGGTAGACATGCTATTCAATACTGAAGGGCAGTTGTTCTCAGCTGATGAATGAATGTACTAGAAAGTTCAAAGCAGAGTGTTTACAAGTTTCTCAAATATGCTGAAATATACATGATGCAGACATGATTCCATGTAATGAAGGGTTGCATGACAGGTTCGTGTGATTCTCCATGACCATAGCAAGTTATCAAGTTGTCAGATGCATGACATCACAACCCCCAACAGATAATACTCATTTATTGTAAAAAATGCTCTTTTCATAATATCCTAGGGAGGCAAAAGTAGGTGGAAGTGGGAAGAAATATCTCTGTTGCTCTATATTGTCCTATATGTATCTTCTATTCATAAAAACAAAATAGAAAATATCAAGTAGGAGGCAAAAGGAGTTACAGATAAAATGTCTGCAGGAAAATTTCCCCGGTCCACTGTCCCGTCAGATCCTCAGCAAGGACAAAAAATCATGATATCCCTTTCCTCTTTCCTTCAGTTCAGATTGAAAACTAAACTTGCCCATAGGAAATTTCTGCCACTTGTTTCCAGGGTAAACTTCAGAGATAAACTCAGTAAATATACACTAAATATTGCTCATGATTTACTTGAAGTTCGCATTTGACAATCTGACCTTAAGTTGCAACCAACTGGGATCACTCACAGCCAGTCCTGAATAGTGCAGTATGCTGGATCCCAAGGGTTACTCAAGGCTTTATTGCTTCACCTGTGATATCTTCCCACACCTCTTTTCCACAGCTGTCTCACCACTCTCCTTAGAGCATCAGGATCTCTGCCTCATGCCTCTTCCCTAGCAAATGCATTGTTCCATGCAGTGATGACTACTGAAAATCCCTGAGTGTGAAAATCTAATCCAAAGTCTGTCCATTGTCATTGGGATATAATAAGCCTCAAAAGAATCAGCCACTTCATCCATAAGTTATTATTAGTATTATTATTGTTGTTGTTGTTATAAAGTCAGAAATAGAGAAAGAGAGACAGAGGGAATGATCTTCTGTCCATTGATTCATTCTCCAAGCAGCTGCAACGGCCAGGTCTGAGCCGATCCAAAGCAAGGAACCCAGAGCTTTTTCTGGGTCTCCCACCCTGGTGCAGGATCCTAAGGCTTTGGGCTTTGGACCGCCTTCCTAGACCACAAGCAGGGAGCTGGATGGGAAGCAGGGCTGCCAGGATTAGAACTGGCACCCATATGGGATCCCTGCAGGTGCAAGGCCAGTACTTTAGCTGCTAGGCTATCACGCCAGATCCCACAAGTGATTATGGAATTCCTGTTTTACAGGAGGCATCACTTGGCAATGTATTGATTTTGAAGCAAATCAGTATTGTTTTTAGTATGTACTAATTGTTTCATTTGCTTTAAAGGCAGATGTGGGGCAGGCGGTAGTTGGAGAGAGATGTTTCATGCACTGGCTCACTTCCCAGATGCCCACACAGCTAAGACTGGGCCAGGCCAAGGCCAGGGGTCAGGAAGCCAGCCTGGGCATCACATGTGAGTGGTATGTATCTAATTATTGGAGCTTTCACCTCTCTCCTCACAGAATGTGTGTCAGTAGGAAGGTGGAATGGGGAGCAAATCAAGGACCAGAACCCACACACACACTGAGTAGAACACGGGTGTTTCAGCTGCTAACTGCAGTTCCAAGCCTGCTCCGATTGTTTCAATGTGTGGAACAATGACATGTTTTATGTTTTTGAAGAAACATCCAAAAACCTGAGAAGACGTTGGAAAGGGACAGAGCTGAGAATTCAGTGATGTTCTTGATTTGGGTGTGCCATCTGGCCCACAGAGGGAAGGCCAGGGCTTTGCTTGACCATGGATTCATCATGTTCTATCAGAGAGAGCAAGACAGGACAGTAATTAAGGCTGTTGGGGAAAAGGCTGTTGAGAGCAGTAGGTGTGCTCCTCTGAAAGCAAACTCAGCCTCTGAGAATGAAGACAGAGATGTAGGAGAACTGACTTGGGGTGACCGTTGGGAATACTGAAGGGCTTGTTTGAGATCTGGATTCCAAGTGGGTGCGGTAGCTGCTGCCAATGGCCTTTTGTTACCTGGCATCATCTACAGTTGGTGCTTTATACAGAGATCATTGAGACTTCACAGAATGCAATGATACACCCCGTTGACTTTAAGACATGGTTGCTTCCTAGTTTCATGACATAAGTACTGATGACCAAATGATACCCTGGACCTCTGCAGTGCTCTTATCCAGGGTACATGTTCCCCACTGCCCTTGCTGAGACCTATTGTGACTTCCTCTTTGTCCTTGTGCATTCCTGATTGTAATCCAGCCTGAGTGTTACCCATGTAAATACATCATATAGCACCTATTGCTTGCCCCTCTCCCACCTTTCCTGATTAAGTAGATCTGATGCGAGCCCCAACGACTTGCATGTCCAGCAAAGTTGAAGGTTCTATGCTTGCCAGAGGGAAGAAGGAACACATAGTTCTTCCACGGCTGGAACATGGGTGACCCATGACTGTGTCTATAGCACCTAACTATTGCTTTGACTCTGGGCAGAAGCTCAGAAAACCTCAACTGTCAGCCAAGGCCTGTTGACTGATTGTGAATAAAGGAGGTGAGTTACCTGCATGGTAAGCTCTCTCCCTTCTCGGTTTATCTTCAAGTGATGCATCCTTCTGTTAGCAAAGTTCTCTGCGTCAATGGTGAATACGTGGGACTCTTCCTTGCTCAACTGATAGCGGATCTGTAAGCTTCCTTGAAAGAAAAATGGTAGGAAAAATTATATTAGAATAGTTCCCATAAAATATATAAGTGTGACCAGATTGTTTTTTGTTACTGTACGCCAAGGACTCACCTCTCAGAATCTTTGTCAATCATGTTTAATATGAATTACGTAAGCCCATCAGGGCTCCAACACAAAATTCTACTACTGTTGAAAATGAAAGTGAGTAACTGAGAGAGAGAGTGTGTGTGTGCACACCTGTGTGTGTGTTTGTAATAGAAAATGCTAGATCACAAAGTGAGGACTTGGCTGTAATTCAAAGTTTAAGGTTGCGAACGATTCTCCATATGAGACACTTGCCTCAGGTACATTTCCCACTTAACTTCTCCCCACATCACTGGCTGAGGACAGTGAGCCCAGGAGCCTGAGGGAACACTGTGTGTCTAGTCCACTCGTGGTCGTTGCCTATTCTGATGTCATCAGGGTCCAAGCAGTCTTTCTGGGATGCAGACGGAGCACATCAATGCTGAGTGGCAGTGTTACAGCTTGCGTCCAAAAGGATAAATGAAGGTCAAGGCACTGAAATGACTCTCACCTTCTCCGTGTCTCTTATCCTCTTCTACACCTCACCTCCTCAGGTGTCCCCTTTCCTAGGACTCCAGCATTAAGACCAGAGGTTTGAAGTAACAGGCACATTCATCCCTGATGCTCTCAGTCTTTAGTATAAAACAAGTTGGTGTCAATTTAAAAACTAAATCGTTATGCATGCCATTACAAAACACACAAATGTAAAGTAAGAGTATAAAATTCTCTGAGGCAGACTAGGAAAGACAGGTGTGACATTGTGAGGCCGTTACTTGACATCCAGTCAAAAAAACCCCTCTTGGTTTCCTGACTCCTCTTCATTTGCTTATTATTTTTTTTTAAGATTCATTTGTTTTTTTGAAAGACAGATTTCCACAGAGAAGGAAAGACAGAAAGATCTTACATTTTACTGACTCACTCTCCAAGTAGCTATAGTGACCAGAGCTGACCTGGTGCAAAGCCCAGGAGTCAGGGGCTTCCTCTGGGTCCCCCACATTCATGCATGGACCCAAGGCTTTGTGCTATCCTCCACTGCTTTCCCAAACCACAAGCAAGGAGCTGGATGTGAAGTAGAGCAATCAGGACATGAACCAGTGTCCACATGAGACGCTGACACTTGAAGGTGTAGGATGTGTCTATTGAGCCATTGTGCCAGGCCTTCCTGACTCCTTCTAATCCTTAGTTCAATGCAATACAACGCAGCAGTACATGATAGACACACAGGAGGCACAATGATAAATGCCACTTTCCTTGGTGCAGATTGGACTCCCACCATCTACTGGTAGGGGAATTCAAATATATATACATTGTGTATTTTTCCATGATCGATTCTGCTTGTGTTTCTACATCTTTGCTAATCCCTCTGTTAGTCACCACTCATCCCAAGGAGATACTGTCTTTGGAAGTATTATGAAGCTTCCAGGACTAACACTTCCCTGCAAAACATCTAAGTCTTCCAGCACCATACAATCATCTCCTGAAATCTTCATCTTCACATTATTCCTAGGTGGATAAAACCAACCCATGACTTTACAAACATCAGTTTAGTGCCATCCAAAATGCCAACCTCCATGTCTTCTCCAACTGTGTAGACAAGGGAGCAAGGGTCAAATCTCCTCTCTGGGTGGAAGGCCCTGCTGACGCTTCACCTCCGCTTGTCTCTGCCGGGCTCTGGAATGCCAAGCTCAACCTCTGTCGTTGCTCCACTTTTGCCTCTCATCTTGCTTTCACACAGCACTCCCACCTCCCGGCTAGAGTCCCCCATTCTTTCCCCAGTCTCTTTCGTAAGGTTGCATGGCAACCACAACAAATTCATGTTATTAATGGTAAGGAACTGGTAGAGAAAAGATCTTTAAACTTCATAAACTAAGAAATGGACTGCCTGCCTAGGCCAGGAGTGCATGCAACTCATTTTCCCCCTATTTAATCTCAGCTCTTTGATATGGTGGTTAGTACATATCAATGCTGCTAAGTTACAAGCAATGCATATTATTTTGAATGTCCCATGAAGAGAGATAGCATGTCCTTGTGTGGGAACTACACATAAAACTGGGGAGCAGAAATAGAGCCCAACATATAACATACCCAAATCCCTCATCTGAGTAGCTGGGTTCAGAGGCTGGCTCTGGCTCCAGACCCCTGCTCCCTAACTTGGGAGGTAGTGGATGATCACTCAGATCGTTTGATTTCTGTCACACAAGTGTGTGATCAGACTGAATTCCTGATTTCTGCCATAGCCCTGGGGCAGTGTAACTATTGCCAGCACTTGAGAAATAAACTGGCTGATGGAAACTGCGTGTCTGTCTGTCTGACTCTGCCTCTCTGTCTTTTGATGTTGTTGTTGTTTTTAATGAAAACATAAGAAATAACCAAATAAAACTACCTTGAGCCATGGATAGTCACTTCATTTCCAATATGCTTCTAGAATATATACATTTGTAGTGGAACTAACTTTTGTCACCAGTAAGTGCACTATAGAAGTCATAAAGGGTCCCATTCATGTTGGAACACTTGTATTTAGCTGCTCTTACAGCCATGTCTTCCGGTAAAACCTGTCATTTTTAGAACTGAACAAGTACTATAGATATCACTTCAAACATAGAAAAATCTACATTTTAAAAAAAGTACTTTAGAAAGAGCATAGGTGTCGGTCACAGCCTGAGAAAGCATCCCTGGTCTTAACATCATCATGACTGAGTCCTACTCATCTCTGCTTTCATACGGAATTGTTCCTTTCCCCTAGCCTTACCTGTTGGAGATAAAGCGTTTGTCACTGTTCCTTGTCAGAAAATGACAGTGTCAGATTTGGAAACTAGATTTAACTGATTCCAAGTAAGAGTTCAAGTTTCCCACAGACCACAGTGGCCTGAGTGACATCTCTGGGCAGCATGCTCCTTTGTGGTAACTTTTCTACTGTACTTTGCTCCCTTCAGAATCTGCTGCAAGGTCATGCCTTCCAGGAAGCCAGGGTGGGCTTCCCAAAGGTGCCTTGCTTTGCTCCTGTAGAGGCATGCTATCACCTCTCTCCTTACACATAGCACAATGCCTTGTCTATTTACTTGCCCAACCCCCATGCAAGTCTGTGCACCACATCCTGGGATTTCTAGCACTTGCATGCTAGATAATCAGTTAGCTCATGAGACCCAAGTCTCCAGTTAACCCTGGGACTTTCTTCGCACTATACAGCCCCCCATGAATGAGTTTTCTATATAACCATACTACAAAAGTGGTAATGCACTTAATACAAACCACGCCTCCCATCTGGAGTTTTGATCTTTCCAAGGTTAATGTTTTTTGTTGCTGTTTTTGTTTTTTTGTTTTGTTTTGTTTTGTTTTAACCTGCTGTGATGCCAGTCAGGGACAATGACACTAGTCATGGCCAGGATCACTATTTGCGTTTTGATACATCACCATCCTAGGGTTTTTCTTAAGTGGAATACGTTAAATTTATTTGCAACATAGAACATACCTCATTGAGAAGCATTTGTATTAATATTGCACTCATTAATACCAGTCTTTCTCAATTATCCTGTACTCAGAAAGAAATGGTGAAACTTTACAGCAATGGATATATTATTTGTTCTGGTTTGATAGGGACATAATGTATACTGCCGGAGTCCAGCTCCAGCTGAGTTCAGAACTTGAGAAGGGTGCATGGGGCAGGCTTAGAAAAGAAATGGACCACTACGATTTCATAATCATGATGGACAAATGCAAGAAAGCTGTCCCCTTTATTTATACAGAAGCAGTTCCAAGCACTGACACAGACCTTTTACATCATGGTCAAGTGGGTGTTTCCAAGGATAATTCTGCCTTTTGTTTCACCTTAAAACGCTCTATAGAAGTTCTCGATAGATAGTGAATATCAATCCGTAACACATTCCTACTATAATCCTCATTGTACAACTTAATCTTGAATCAGCTAAGGGAGGAAATACATCGCAAAAAAGGGGAGAACCTAAAGACCAAGGATGGTTGAATGGGTGCAGCAGAAACAGAGACAGCATGAATAATAAACGGCCCCTTTTTTTAAAGATTTATTTTTATTTTTTTTTATTGGAAAGGCGGATATACAGAGAAGAGAGACAGAGAGGAAGATCTTCCGTCCGATGATTCACTCCCCAAGTGAGCGCAATGGCCAATGCTATGCCGATCCGAAGCCAGGAGCCTCTTCCGGGTCTCCCAAAGGGGTGCAGGGTCCCAAAGCTTTGGGCCGTCCTCGACTGCTTTCCCGGGCCACAGGCAGGGAGCTGGAAGGGAAGCGGGGCTGCTGGGATAGAACCGGTGCCCATATGGGATCCTGGGCGTGCAAGGTGAGGACCTTAACCACTTGCGCCACCGCGCCAGGCCCATAAATGGCCCTTTTGCAGTTATCAGCAACATTAACCTCCAAGCTCACATTTTTACTCACAGAGTAAAAAACCAACTCTGCAGCAGCAAACAATGCCTGAATGGATTACAAAGTTCTTCAGCGGGGTGGTCCAGTGTCCACACCAAGGAAGGTGAAACTGCCTTCAGGGGGCTTGTAGAGACATCCACTGGGCCCTGCCATGCAGCAGGAAATTCCTTGCAGCCCTGCCTAGAATGGAACAGTTCTCCACACACCTTCGTGTCCTCCACACCCACTGCATGGACCCCAGCAGTAAACAGTCATGGAAAGATTGCACCACACAGACATGTAACATTATTGTGTGTCAACCAGCGTTTATTACACTTCAGCTTCTCAGAATACTGAAAGGGAGACTGATCCAGCAATTCAGTCACTCCTGTGGTCCGCATTCCATGCTCACATTTCACTCTGAGAGCTGCAGCTCTTGTACAGGTCATATTCTTTTTGATCTTGTCTAGTCTGCTTGGATCCCATAGTTAGGCCTTCTTTTATACACCCTTTAGTTTGTACAACTAAGCCATCCTCACCAACCAAGCCCGCCTCACAGCTCCATCTCAG